TGCCCCCTGCCCTAGTTCCTGTGTTTGCCAGTATGCACAGCAAACTGGTTCAGTCTGTTTCAGGGGTTATTTTTTTTAAAGTATGTCCTCTTCTGATAGCTGAAACAAAACCCCGAGGGGAGTCTTTAATATGCAGTCCTGATTATGATAAAGCAGTCATTGTGCTGTGTCAATTTACTGCCATATGTGAGACTATTTCTCACGACATACTGTCTGCTCATGGTCATCTTGTGGTCCCACGGATCTGGAGCAGAGCTCTGGTGGTTCAAGACCAGATCTCTTAGTGTTAATCCCAAACAAAGATCATTAGGCTCAGTGAATTTGTTCTTGATAACAGAAAAAAATATTATTGAGAGGCAGATTCCCCACCACCATAGGATCTTAAGAGTCCCTGCCCTTTAGGACTTTGCACACTCAAAAGGATGAAAGCAAGCAGATGGGTGAAAAGACAGTCGTTTCTAACTTTCTACTGTGCTACTACAAAAATGAAGTCTTTTACAAAATCAATCAGTCTGGGTGTGTGATCTGTCTATGACAGTGAATTAATTAATGAGAAATTTGGGTATTTGACAAACATTGATATATGATAAAGATAGGAAAAATAGTTCCCAACACTTTTGTTACCCATATTCACTGAATAGAAATATCTTTCCTGGATTATATCTCCTTGCCAATGCATGGATGTTATTCCTGGTGCTAGAATGGTGTGGCCTCCGTGGGTATGTGGGGAGCATCATAATCCTGCTCTGAGAGAGCATATGACTTTGATAGGAAATGGATTTGTGGTGCTGACTTCCATAGTACTACTATGTGCAAAAGAAGGGTGATTATCAGCTCTTCATTCTAAATCAGATGCATGCCTAGTCTTACCTGGGCCAACAGGACTTTGTATTGCTTTGCAGGTGACATGGCCTCTCTTGTACAAACAGATGCCATCAACCACTTTTGTTTGGCTAGACCCACTATTTCCATTTGTCTGTCAGCGAATGTAGCCTGTGTAACCCGAGTTGTCTATACTCCTCTTTTATGTTAAATAAAGGCATGGAGTCACTCCAATTTGCTCCTGGCCTTTTGTTTGGTCAGCCCTGACTGTTTCTATGAGGCCCCAGCTGTGCCTTAGCCCTATCCCACACGTAGGCGTAAGTACAGTCCACATTCAAGGTTAGCATTCTATCCAGAAGCAGTTTTTCAGCTGTCAGAGGGCTGCTCCGATGCCTCACTGGATCAGATTATCACTACCTTTATTAGCCTGAATAAACAACTGCCAGGGGAGCCGCCTGCTTAGTCAATTGTCAGAGTTTACAGAATCAGATATTGATTTTAAAGAGAAGAGACAAGCAGATCTGTTTGTAATGCATCTATTAGGTGGCACCTTTATTTAACCTTGTCTGTGGATGCCCAGACACTGCAGGATGGACACAGCAGTAGAAGTTGACTGGTCTGCTTTCTGCTCAGCCATTCCTGGTACCAACCATAAATGAATTGCTCAGGGTGAGTTGTTCTTGTTTTAGGGGGTGTGGAGTTGGCTATGTATTAGTTCTGTGGGGTATCTAGCTTCTATGTGATGAGGGTATCCTTCCTCCCTCCCCCACCTCCCGTACCAGGGAACTTTTGGTGCAGTGGGGTAGAAAGAACAAGCCATTGTTAACTAGAAGGCTCTTTTATTCCATTCTGTGGAACATAGCTCATGGCACTGATCCTAGAACGAGCCTGGGCTCCTGTTTCTATACTGCTCCTAAACAGTTGTCTCCCACCTGGGCATGCCATTCTGCCTGGGTTATTCACTTGGCAACTTTGACAGAAATGTGTTTCCTTACCATTCCACAGATTCAAAGTCCAAGGTCAAGTGTCCATGGGGTTGATTTCCTTCTAATGCTTCTTTCCCTGACCTGTACCTTCACATGGCCTTTTGTCTCCCTTGTCTTCATGCCCAATCCTCATTTCCACTTCTCACAGGACCCCAGACATATTGGATAGAGCACTCCTCCCTGCTTTTCCAGGATGGTTTCTTTTTACCTTGAAGGGCCCAATTTTCAAGTGTAGTTTCATGCTGAGGTACCGAGAATTAAAATTCCATTGTACTAATTTGGGTAGGAGTTGGGGGCAGGGAGAAGAGAACACATTTTCCCCCTTTCTCGGGTGGGGATAAGGCTTAATCTGTGGTTTTCTGATAATGCTCTTAGGAGGTGCATGTCCTCAGAAGGTGCCAGTGGCTGGAATCACAACTTGTCCTGGTTTGCCCTGGTGTAATAAGTTTCCAGGATGTGGGACTTTCAAAAAAGGAGTGCAAAAGCATATTCAGTCTCACGCAGACCTGGCAACTAGGCCAGCCACCCAAATTAGGCTCCTACAGAGGGTACAGGCCAGGGACTTGCTTGTCCAGTTCACCTTGGCCTGAGCTGTGCCCTCTCTCAGCTTGTACATCGGCATCTTAAGTGAGATGAGTTTTACAAAACCACTGTGTTCAGTGGCGTCCAAGGCCCTCTCTTGCTCAGCATTCTGGTGAAAAGTCATATGTACACCTCCGTTCCAGCCATTTGTCAGATACTAATAATAAAGTGGGGGTAAAACTCATCTGGAGTGTGATTAAAAGCAAAATTAAGCAAAAACAGGGAAGTGCTGGTTAAGTGCTGCCACTAGTGTGGCAGATGTGGGCACCAGACTGTTGTGAAGGGAGAAGTCTCATGGAGCTTTCACATGGTTCACTGTTTTCCATCATCTCTTAATTTCATAGCAGCTCTGTGAAGGAGGTAGCTTCCCCAGAGCAGCTGCTGCCCCATGGGACAGGTGAGGAGACTAAGGCACAGAGAGAGGAGTAGCCCAAGTCTCTCACTAGTCAAGGCAGAGCTGGGACTGACCGGGCAGTTTGGCTGTGTACCAGAGCCTAGCACAGGTGCAGAGGACCCTTAGATGGGGAAGAGCAGCTGCACTGGTAAGTGTGGGGCAGTGACAGGCTTGTGGACTGTCATCTCATTGTTCTTCCCATCTGATCACTCTCAGCTTGTCCTACCTTTTACTCTCCTAGAAGCCTTAGAGCCATGTTCTGGGATTATCAAGAGTGTTAGGGGAATCTCTCAATAAAGAATTAATTCTTCTCATTTAATGATCCTTTAAAAATTTTCATTACTTAATTGTCTTTTTTTTTTTTTTGAGTGGGGTGGGGAGAGTCAGAGAGACACAGAACAACATCTTCTACATGATAGTTTGCCCTCTAAATTCCTACAATAGTTGGGACTGGGTCAGGTCAAAGCCAGGAGCCTGGAACTCTATCTGGGTCTTCCATGTAAGTTACAGGGACCAAGTACATGAACTATCATCTGCTCGTAGAGTACTTATTTTCCAGGAAAAAGGGTACTTAAATTTCAGGAAGCTGGAATTAGAAGTGAAGCCAGGACTTGAGCCCAGGCATTCTGGCCTGTGAGTCTCCAATGCAGTACCTTAACTGCTGCACCAAAATATCTACTCTTTACAATCTCCCTTTCTAAGGAAGAGAACAGCCTCACCCAGGGGCAATGTCACATCGCTGGACTTCAGTCATTCTCTGTTGTTTTAGTACAGTTGTCTTTTTAAATTTTTAATGGAAAAGCAGATATACAGAGAGGAGGAGAGACAGAGAGGAAGATCTTCCATCTATTGATTTGCTCCCCAAGCAGCTGCAGTGGCTGGAGCTGTGCTGATCCAAAGCCAGGAGCCAGGAGCCTCTTCTGGGGCTCCCATGCAGATGCAGGGTCCTAAGGCTTTGGGCCATCCTCAACTGCTTTCCCAGGCCACAAGCAGAGAGCTGGATGGGAAGCAGGGCCACCGCAATTGGAATCAATGCCCATATGGGATCCTTGCAAGGTGAGATCTTTAGCTGCTAAGCTACTGCATTGGGCCTGCAATTGTCTTTTTGCAGTTCATCTTGATAGATAGAAATGATAAGATGGTGCTATAAAGTACCTTTAAAAGACATTTAAATGAAGACCCAAATGCTTTAAAAAAATCTTTAGTGACTCAAAGCCTAGCTGATATATAAATAGGGCTGCGATTGAGTGTATGGTGAGAAAGTTTAATTTTGTGAAACACTAGAAAGAAGGAAAGGTTGTAGTTCCCAAGAATCCTGAACTTGCGTATGAAAGGCAGGAGTTGTCTGGCCAGCAGCCTTTCAGGTCAGTGCCCAGGTCCAGCCTGGAATAGAACTGGGTTCTCAAGGTACTGGTTGCAGGCCCCTTTGGCAATATAGTATATCTGTTTGATTTGGTTTGTTTTTAAGACAGGGTAATGGGAAAATGTGAAAGACTGCTTCAGGAGAATGCAGCCTAGAAAGTTATTAGCAGTTCTGGAATACCCAGCAGAAATCTGGAGACACTTTTCACAGTGTTAGTGCTGGTGGCTTTGCCTGCCATCCTTGTGGCAGGACTGTTTTTTACTGAATGGAGTCTGATTAAGGCAAAGTGAGTTATACCTCTCAGTGTAATGCTCATACTTGACTGGATCAATCTTTAGCCATAAGATCCATCAGCAGTGGCGCTCTGCATAGACTGGTGTCAGGCACAAGCACCAAATCCTCCTTTCTAACAGCATAGACTTTGGCAACAGAGGTTGAGGATTGATTTCCAGAGACCATAGAGAAGCTCTTCTCAAGGCGACCATAACCCAAGGACAAAGGCTTCAGATCTCTGACTTTCAGTTGCTTTCCCCAGCAGCACTCACAGCAGCCACCACTCAGCGGCCTGGTAAGACAGATGAGTGACCTGGCCTGACCAGAACATCCTGTGGCCTTTTTACTTCTTCCTGCAGTGTGCATGTCATTTTAGAATGTTTCGTTGTTCCTCCATCCTCTCTATAGGAAAAAAAAAATCTTCCTAACATTGGAGGGGGAAAAAATCTACCTAACTTAGAGGAGGAAAATAAAAGCAAAGAATGCTTGCTTAGAAATAAAAAAATATCTTTGTTTCAAAAACCCACAGCCCCCAATTTTGCAATATGTTGCATCTGACAAACTTTTTGCTGCCTCCCAGGAAGCATTTGTATGGATTATTTCACTACAACAGCAGAATGCTTGGACTTGAATCACTTCCAGATCCCATGGACACCTGGGAAATTATAGAAACCATTGGTAAAGGCACCTATGGCAAAGTCTACAAGGTCACAAATAAGAAAGATGGGAGCCTGGCCGCAGTGAAAATTCTGGATCTGATCAGTGTAAGTAGTAGTAGCTTGTGACCACAGACAAGTGGCTCATGCAAGTTGACTTGTCAACTTCCTTTCCAGATTTCATGAAACCTGGTAATTTTTAAAAATTTATTTATTTTTGTTTGTTTTTGATACAGTTTAGTTGGCAATGGGCTCTTCCCTCCTCCCCCAAGTTCCCTCCCCTGCCCTCTGTTCTCCCCTCCAGGAAACTTGGCAAAATTTTTAAATGGGTCACAATTTATTATTTATCAGCTCCTCTGAATAAAGGGACTGTACTTGGAGTTACACCTTTCCGTGACTTAAAAAAAATTCTTTACTTGAAAGAGTTATGGAGAGACATTGCATGAGAAATCTTCTATTTTATGATTTACTTCCCACATGACCACAATGGCTGATAGCTGCTAGCTGGCTGGGCAGAAGCTGGGATCCTGTGTGGGTAGCAGGGACCCAAGCACTCAGGCCAGCTTTGGCTGCTTTTCCCCTGGCCATTAGCAGAAAGCTTGATCCCAAATATAGCAGATAGGACACAAATTGACTCCTGTTTGAAATTCTTGTGTTAGCAAGTGGCAGCTTTATGTATTGTCACAGTGCTGGCCCATTTCATTGAATTGTTTCTTGGGCATTTTACTGCTACTTTGGTTTTAGCTGTTTGGGCTCTTCAAAAGTTATTCTTTTGAAGATGCTGATATATTGTACTCCCCATTCACTCTATAGGTTGCAAAGATGCACAATTTTATGATGTTTGATCATCTTGGGCTGATATCTTACTTCAGGATTATGAGGTTAAACACTATACACTGGGCCTAGCATGATGGCTTAATGTTTAAATCCTTACCTTGATGGGTGCCAGTTTGTATCCTGGCTGTTCTACTTCCCATCCAGCTCCCTGCCTGTGGTCCTGGGAAAACAGCAGAGGATGGCCCAAAGCCTTGGGCACTCTCATGGGAGACCTGGAAGAAGCTCCTTGCTCCTGACTTCAGGTTGGCTCAGTTCAGCTGTTTGGGAAGTAAACCAGTAGATGGAAGACTGTTCTCTTTGCCTCTCCTTCTCTCTGTAAATATGATCTGCCTTTCCAATAAAAATATAAATGCTGTGCAGTATTGTGCATACTGAGCTTGAATGTGTCCTATTAGGTCCTTTTGACTGCTTTTCCTTAACTGCTTTGGAAATTCAGGTTTATTTCAATAGAAAAGACAGTTATGAGAATATTGTTAAGTAAAAATGAGCTACATAAATATATTTTATTGATAAAATAGTGATAGGGCTTAAATTGGGATTGGAATGTCTTTTTAGTTTATTATGCAGCTATGGGAATGATTACATTAAAACTGCTTGTTGACATAGGCTTTATTAAGTGGTTATTTGGGCATGTTTCTGTCCTTTGCTTAGACATTTGGCTTAATTCAGTACATGTATATTTTTAAACTTTGTTTAGGACATGGATGAGGAAATTGAGGCAGAATACAACATTTTGCAATTTCTTCCTAACCACCCCAATGTGGTAAAGTTTTATGGAATGTTCTACAAAGCAGATCATTGTGTGGGAGGACAGCTGTGGCTGGTCTTGGAGGTAAGAGACTTCTCTTGGGTAACCATTGATTTTATTGGAGTTCCAGGGGCAAGCAAATGCTATGTTGACAATATAATCTGCCTTAGGGTCAGACTTGAAGGTAATTCCAGCAGTGGAATTGTCTGCGATTCCCACAGGTAGGCTGTTGGCTGAAAATACTGCTGTTTCTCTGCTTCAAACACTTGCTAATCTATTCTTCCAATAGAGAGTGAATGTAGAAATACAGTCAGAAGAGGTTCTTTTGTTCCCAAAGCTGAGAACATTTTATAGAGCACATGTTCCAACTAGTGACAACTCATTTTCAAAAACTGTTAACTCAAGGTTTGTTTTGCTTACCCCATTTTGATTTGTTCATGCCTGTCTGATTATTGTCATCTTATATTGAGCTTCCTGCACACGGATCCCCAGAGCAGGGTGTGGAGGGTTGATTGGAGAGTTCTTGCAGGAGACAGGCCTGGAGGTAAAAAGGGCAGGACCAGGCACAGGTGACTTTGAATAGCAATGTGGTTGTAACAAGGGCTTCTGCAGAAATAAATTGTACTCTGGAGAAATAAAAAGAAATAAATTTTATTCTGGAGAAATAGAGAGCTGGGAAACTTTTTCAGCGTTGTCTTGAACTCTGTCTCCACTTATTAGTCAATCACTGGTTCTATGACCGAGGGGGCAGCAGTTTCCTGTAGAATAAGGCAATTTCTGGTTGGGGGGTGCAACTGGAAGAAGGAGCAGGGAGTGACTGCTGTTCCCAGCTTCCTGTGCTCTCAAATAGGAAGCAGAAGGGAATATCATGATATGTACTCTCTTCCTGCAGTTTTCTTAGTTTTTAATGGTAGTGAGTATATACATCAGGGTGCAAAAGCATCAGTTCCCTATGGATCTAAAATGACCAGGAAAATAATGACACTACAAGAAATCATTGTGCTGAATCAGGTCTGTTGCCTCCTTCCTATGAAACCCACCTTGATTTGTTCCTTTGATTTGATCTGCTCATCTGCATCAGCTGCCTCATTGTCTGAGGTCATGGTTGATCTAGCAGCCCAGAGACATGAGAGGAGAGTGCAACAGAACAGGCGAGCTCTCACTTTACCTTCACCTGCCTGGCTTTGGAGGGCCTGAACGTGGGGCTGAATTACTGGTGGCCATGGTGACCATGGGTGAGAAATTTGTTTGCTATTTTCAGGTGGATAATCTGTAGGGAAATGGTTTGAATCTTTTTGTTATGTCTATGGCCTTCTTCCGCATATGAAGATGTAAGAGACATTGCTTTTCAGGAATGATCTTTATTTCTTGAGTTGGTTTGGTTAAGTCATATGACATTATTCTTCTTTTATCTTTTATCTTTTGGATTTTGTTAACCATCTCCCTGCATGGGTTTGAGGAATTTTCTCCTGCCCATAAAGTCCTTTTAACAAGGCTACTTTGTGTGGGAGTTGTATTGTATCTGAGGTCTCTGTACTTATCTTCAGCTCTGCAAGAACTCTATGCTTAAATCTCCTTCCCATTAAAGGAGGAGACAGAAAAATTCGTTTCTGTTTATTTTCCTTCTGGCTCAAAAAGGTTTTGCAGTCAGACCTAGAGAACTGGAACTTGAGGACTGTCTGAGGGCTCACCCAGGGGCCTTTGTGCTGTGTAACCAAGCAGGCAGTGTAGTTATTTGTTCCTGAGGCCACCTGGTGAATGATTGCTCGCCTCTTCCTGAGAGTGAGTGACCCTCAGGTGTAGCACCACAGACATTGCCAAGGCTGCCGGAAGGGTGCACATGGCTTTGAAAGGCAAGAAGGGACCCAGACTGAGCCTCGAGCAGGTGCTTCTTTGCCAGCTGCCTCTTGCTTTTCTGGGGGTGACCTCCTGTAGTTCATGTGGCTGCCTTGAGCCACTGAATTATTTATACCTTGGCAATGCAATAAGCCCACAACTATGACTTTCGTTGGTAGTTTTGACCTATATCAAGATTGGTGGCATAGGTAACTGAATGTCCTGAGGCTTTTATTTTGTCTCAGGATGGGATTGCTTGCATACACTGCTGGAAAATGAGGTGTGCTCAGTGCCTTAGTGATCAGCTTTCTGGTCTCTTGTCTCTGCTGGAAACCTCAGCTTTCCTCCAGTTCATCCACCACAGAGACCTGGGGAGGAAAGGACATACCTTCGGTCACTCACCTGACCGGTTACTTGACAGGGAAACTATGCCTTAGCACATTTCCAACTTTGCGTGCTGCGGTCAGATGCCAGTGATTCCTTCTGTCAGGGCATGGGAATCTGGGGGTATTGATCTCCAATGGGGATCACACCCCTGTGGATGATGGAATCCTAGTGCACCTGCTGCAGCTTTTAAGACATGCTTAAGGAATCTCACCCAATAAAATCATGACCTGTTTAATATTGGTCTCCTCATCTTCTGCATTCAAGTTACATTTATATTGACTTTGCTCTCTCCTTGCCAAATGCATTGAAAGAAACTGTGAGAAATTACACCACTGAGCACTTGTAGAAGATAGAAAAGCGTTATAAGTAACCTCCTTAATTCACCACAACACTGAAAACAAAAACAAATGAAAATGTTGTTTCTGAATTCATTTCTAATTATTAGTAGAAAGCAAACAAGGGGCCAGTGTTGTGGCAGAGCAAGTAAAGCTGTTGCCTGTGGTGCCAGCATCCCACATAGGTGCTGGTTCCAGTCCTGGCTGTGTCGCTTCTAATCCAGCTTCCTTGTTATGGGGTTGGAAATTAACAGAAGATGGCCCAAGTGCTTGGGCCCCTGTATCCATGTGAGAGACCTGGAAAAAGATTCTAGCTTTGGCCTGGCTTCGCCTTGGGCATTACCCTTATTTGGGGAGTGAACCAGTGGGAGGAAAATCTCTTTCTCTCTCTGTCATTTTTTAAAATAAATAAAATGTCCTTTAAGATAGGAAAGCAAACAAACTCTTTTATGATGAACACTCACTATGTTTGAAAGATATAAAGAGAAAACATGTGTTTTAGAAAATTTGTGGCCTTTTTTATGTATATTAAGTTTATTTATTTTTATTGGAAAGTCACATATACAGAGAGAAGGAGAGACACAAAGAAAGATCTTCAGTCTGCTGGTTCACTCCCCAAGTGGCTGCAATGGCCAGAGCTGAGCTGATCCAAAGCCAGGAACTTCATGAGGGTCTCCCATGCAAGTGCAGGGTCCCAAGGCCTTGGGTCACCCTTGACTACTTTCCCAGTACTCAAGCAGGGAACTGGATGGGAAGTGGGGCAACAGTTGGGGTACAGCCCATTTGGGATTCCAGCAGATGCAAGGTGAAGATTTAGCCACTAGGCTGTTGTGCCAGGCACTGAATGTTAAAATTTTAAAAACCTAGCGCCTCTGAAATAAAATATAAAGAATTAGATCTTTAAGAAAAGTGTAGTACCCAGAAAAATGTTTAATATGTGCTAAGACATGAATTACATTTTCCCTTTTAGTGTAAAATTTCCAACAGGTAGAAACTATTTCATATTTGTCTGAAGCACACATTCAGCTGAAAAGAACAGGCTTTTCTCAAGGTGTTAGAAAATTCAGTCTAGGCCTGAATAATTTGGAAGTGTAGTAACTGTAACCATTTAAGTCTGTTTGTTGATTAACCTTTGTCTGGATATGGTTCTGTGCTTTTCATAGTGAGTAATAGAGCTTACAAGTATTTTTAAGTAAAATAAAGTCTTACTTTATAAAACTAACATCAGAACAGCATCAGGGTTGCCAAAAAATGTGTGATTTTAAAGATTTATTTTTTAATTATTATTTTTTTTTCCCTCAAGGGGGTGCACCGTTCCTGGAGGTACTGCAATACCAGGTCGATGCGCGGAGTGGACGGAGCAAGCTCCTATTCCAACTCCAGGCTCCAAAAATCCATTTAATATATTGTCCTCGGATAGAGGATGTATCAGATATTAAACTGATAAGAACAGATACTACACTTGATCTTAGCCAAAAGGCCGAGAAGCGATAATTATTTTTTTATTGGAAAGGCGGATGTAGAAAGAGGAGAGACAGAGAGGAAGATCTTCCGTCTGATGATTCACTCCCCAAGTGAGCGCAATGGCCAATACTATGCCGATCCGAAGCCAGGAGCCTCTTCCGGGTTTCCCACGCGGGTGGCAGGGTCCCAAAGCGGGGCTGCCAGGATAGAACCGGTGCCCATATGGGATTCCGGGTGTGCAAGGCGAGGACCTTAACCACTGCGCCACTGCGCCACTGCGCCACTGCGCCACTGCGCAGGGCCCAAATGTGTGATTTTATATTGAAAGATTATCTCTGAAATTTTGGATACTGAATTAACTTCCATTTACTTTACATTTTATAGAACATATAAATGTTGATGTATAGTAAGATATTTTATACACACTTCGTGGTCTGTTTCTTCTGGCTTCTAAGAGTTGACTAATTTGTGGCTGGCATTATAATTTAAGCGATTTCTTTCCAGAACACAAGAATAAATTCATCATACAGTTTTTCTCTTAAAAAAAAGTGAAACCATTTGCACTTATTGACACCACATCATGAATTAGAGTCTTGATAGAATTCTGAAGGTCTGGAACCCAGTCCTGGAAGGTTCTGATTGGCCAGAGGTGGTTAGAAAGCACTGGGATGTTGAACCCTGGATCAGACAATAGGTTCCATCATCTAGAATGTGGATCATTGGGATGCTGAGAGTCAGAGTGAAGGCAGAGAACACTTGGGACTTAGACAAAGGAAAGAAATTTGAAAGGCATCTTGCAGTGATGTGGTCGATGATGTTTGGCCAGGGAAGAGCTCAGCTGAGGAGTGAAAGTGATTCTGCCCAGTCCCAACTGTCCTCAATAAGCAAGAACCCTGGAAAGAGAGATGGGCAAGAGTATCCCAGTGTCCATCTACCTCTCACAGCATGACCCTCAGCCTGCTCTGATTGCCACTCAGGAGTCTCACCCAATAAAATTACAAGGGTTTGATGTGATCTAGTTACAGGTCAGTGACTATGTGGTATGCAATAAACTATCAGTTG